CTTCAGCACGGAAGCCTGTGCGAAGGATTGGGCCGCGCAACTTTTGGTCGGAGCAGGAAATTTTGACCAGCGAAGGCTTGATGAGAGCCTGGCTGCTGCAGCCTTGGCTTGGTGCTCTTTGTCTCCCCCACACCGACCAACTTCGGTATTGAATGCAGGTGCGTCTACAGAGTTTTGGCGTGGCCCTCCCTAGTCCACGCAAACTGCCGAGTCTTGAAGGAGGCGAGTGGGCCCAACAGCGAGAACCTATCTACGCCGAGCAAAGATGTTGCGGGAATATGAAAATAAGAAGAGAGATGGCTGGAAAAGGGGGAAAGGGCGAGAAGATTGGTCAAAATAAGGTATGGAGGGGACAAGCGGTGAAAAGGGGGGTGGGAGATCAACCGGTTTGGCCGCGCATCGATCTAGGGCCGGACGCAGTTCTGACCGACCTGAAGAGAGGAAGGGAACGAAAATCAGAAGGGGAAAATGGGAGAAGCGCACCCGGTAACAAGGAGTTGTAGGAGCTGGGGGGGAGGAAGAGGAGAACTGCTAGGGTGAGCAGATGTCGGAATCCGTGGCAGGTTACTTCGCGGCAAGGCATCGGTGGGTCAAGACTCTCGAGCAGACAGAATGAGCGGGAAAAACGGTTGTGAAAGGACTCGAGCGTGCAGATGGCGACTGGCCGAGGGAAGAAAGCGGGGGAAGGGAGACCAGATGGAGGCCGTAAGGACTGCCTCAACCTCGGACGAACCAGAGAACTGGCACCGCCCTGCGGGGAGCCGCGCAGCAGGCGCATGCATAAGGAGCCTAATTAGGTTCGATCGCGGGAGCTGGACGGGGGAATACGTGGTATGTATATCCAAGATGCAGAGGCGCGAAGGGCAGACCCCGCGGCCACTCCTAAGTGGCAAAGCGGTCGGAGATGGCCTGCGAAAAAGGGGTGAAAACTGGGCAACTTTCTCACGAGAACGGAGCACAGCTCCGGTCAGGACATCGAAAATAGATCCAGGCCAATGGTAACTGAACGACCCGGATGGATGGGGAGACAAGCCGTCTTCAGTGAGTGGGGCGGACAAGCCAGAATCCGACAGTTGTGGCGCACGCGCCTCAGACTTCTTGATAACCACCGCTAAGTAACTGAGGCAGGCAGGGTTCGTGAGCTAGGGGAAGAGACCGATCACGAACGTAACTCCGATCCCACGATTGTGGAAGGGGAGGAGCCTATTGGCGGAAGAATGAGAAAGGGGATGATGGGAGGGAGAGCAAGTAAGTGCTGGTAGAATGAGGATGGAGGTGGGAAAAAGGGGGGAAATTTAGGAAAAAATTGGGAATTTTGGCGCCTTGTGAGCACGGAAACGTGAAACGGGCAAGTATAAAAGAGGGACAGAGAGAGGGAGAGGGGGAGGGAAAAGCGTCCGTTCTGGGGAAGATAGTAGTAGGGACGTTCATTGGGGAAAAAAAAATGCTCGTGACACGCATGGAGGAGGAGTTCGTAAAGGGAGCACGCGAGGACGGCCTTCGGCGCACACAGTAGCTGGGAACTGGAGGAGCTCGACTGGTAAGGAGAGAGGACGAGGGGAGGAAAGGAGCGGAGAGCAGGCACACGCGCCTATCAAGGGGGGGGGTCGTCGAGATGTCGGAAGAGAGAGCCTAGCGGGAGAGGGAGAAATAGAGAAAGCAAAGAGGGAGGAAGAGGCCGAGAGCTAGAGAGATAGAGAAAAGAGCGGAGGGAGAGAGAGAGAGCGCCCGAGCGGCGTGTAAAGCCCGAGGGAGACAGGGAAAAGAGAGAGAGAGGGGGAGCAACGGATCGAAAGAGAGAGAGATGCAGAGAAAGAGAGCGGGTGAGACGTACTGACCTGCGTGGCCAGCGGACACAGCGACCACCGATGCTCATAGCCGACAGAAGCTTTGGTCACCGAGAGGAGAAGGGTTGTCTGAGGGGCCTCGAAACGAGGTGGATAAGCGCCCGAAGAGCGGTCGCTACTGAGGATGGGAGTCGGGGGACGCTGGCGTTCCGACACAGCCGGTGAGGTCGTGCCGAAGGAAGGGAAGGAGGGGTCGCGGGATCGAGCCGCTCACGATCGCTAGTCACCGGATGGGAGCTTGTCGCACGAGGTGGGGAGGGCGCTAAGGGCGTCGCGCCTCTCCGATCAAGGACTCTTCTGCGCCTCTACTCGGGTCAGCGGCTCGGGCAGCGCTAACCGGGGAGGGAGAGAGATCGCCGCTTGGCCTCGAAGGTGTCCTGTATTCGGCCGTCTTCTCGAGAAGACGTGAAGAGCGATCCTTTCAAAAGGAAAAATAGAGGAGCTGACGTGCTCAGAAGTCTCGCCTCAAAAGGAAGCCGCATTCAGTCTGTTCCCTCGTCAAGGCACAAGTAAAAGGGAAGCTAGCGAGGTCGATCACCTCGCTTCTGAGGGAAGTCAACGCTTTTCCGGTATGTTTCCTWGTGAGAGAGAGWGGGAGKGAGAGAGGTTATTGGGCTCGATCCCATTGGGGAGAAATCAGTATTTTGTCAAACTTTCCCGTATGACAAAGAAAGGTTCAAATGCTAAGTCGAAGTGAAGTCTGCACTCGGTCCGTTTTTTTTGTCGAAGGGCGAGAGAAAAAGGGGGTAACGTGCTCGTAAAGTTTGTGTTATTCGGTCTGGTTTCTCATGAGAGAGAGAGAGGGAGAAAAGATAACGAGCTGGAGAAGTCCGTTTTTTTTTGTCTGATTTTTTAGAGAAACAAAGAGAGGTTCTGAGGCTAAGTCGTAGTGAAGTTTGCATTGGGTCTGTTTTCTGGTCGAAATGCGAGGGAAAAAGAAGCTAACGTGCCCGTGAAGTCCGTGCTATTTGGTTTGTTTTCCCAAGAGAGAGAGAGAGAGAGAAAGAGAGGTAATCGGGCTCGATCGCATTGGGGAGAAGTCAGTATTTTGTCAAATTTTCCCGTACGACAAAGATAGGTTCAAACGCTAAGTCAAAGTGAAGTCTCCACTCGGTCTATTTTTTTTGTCGAAGGACGAGAGGAAAAAGGGGTAACGTGCTCGTAAAGTCTATGTTATTTGGTCCGGTTTCTCATGAGAGAGAGAGGGAGGGAGAGAGGATAACGCGCTGGAGAAGTCCGTTTTTTTTTTCCAGATTTTTTAGAGAAACAAAGAGAGGTTCTGAGGCTAAGTGGCAGTGAAGTTTGCATTGGGTCTGTTTTCTCGTCGATATGCGAGGGAAAAAGAAGCGAACGTGTTGTGAAGTCTGTGCTATTCGGTCTGTTTTTCCGTGAGAGAGAGAGAGAGAGAGAGGGGTTAACGAGCTAGAAGGCCTCGCTTCGGGGAGGAGTACATATTCGGACAGATTTTCTCATACGACAAAGAAAGGTTAAATTGCAAAATCAAAGCGAAGCCTGCGTCGGCTCTGTTTTCTCGTCGGAATGCGAGAGAAGAAGAAGCTGACGTGCTCGAGAAGTCTGTACTAATTGGTCCGAAAGAGAGAGAGAGAAGGGTTAACGAGATGGGAAGCCTCGCTTAGGGACGACGTCTGTATCGGGTCAAGTTTCTCGCACGGGAAGGAGAAGCGAAGTCCGCATTGGGTTTGATTTCCCGAGAGGGGTAGGTCGGTGTGCTCGATCGCCTCGCTTCGGAGAGAGGTCTATAATCGCTCTAGGAAGGAGGGGTCTCCATATTCGGACATTCTATGTCTGCGTGAGTGTTGTGTTCGGTGTCTGTTCTCTTAGCGCGGGGACCACACTCGACGGCAGGTACGTGTTCGATCCGCTTTTCCCCCTTGAGGGTGTGGCTGAGAACGACTACGGTTCTCTTTGGGTTCTGTGTTCGGCCAGGTACGATCCCCTTCCCCGACGCCACGCGTGTGTTTTACCCCCTCTCTTGTGAAAAACCAAGACGAATCTTCGATCGCTTCGAAGCCCATTTTCACGACTGGCGAATTCAACTTGCCACGGGGTATTCGTATTTGGCCAGGCCTTCCAGAGGGGAGGGGGAGCGGTCAGGCCACTTCGAGGCCCGACGGTCGTGAAAACGCCCTTGGGGGGGAGGGGCGAGCAGGCCTCAGAAGACCGCCGAGCTTAATCAAGCGAGGAGCGAGCGGAGATAGAGCCAATCCTGTCGGTGGGCTAGGGGCACACCACGGGCAGGCCGGGCAGACCCTTAAAGTGGCTACAGTAGGTGGGCTCGCGAGCGGAGCCGACTGACCGACAACGTGTCTGAAGCTATAAAGATGGGGTGAACTTGTCCATCCCCCGATCAGTAGAATCTAAGACCTTCATGAAGAGGCCTGTTCACACGCAGGCCGAAACGCGTCGAAGGATGTGCGTGGTTTTTTTCCAGTGGTGTATGGTCAGTTGCATTTCGAATTTCGGAGGAGCACTGACCCTCCATAGAACTGGTTTTGATTGTACCTATTCGTTTTATTGCCCTTGATTCTGGGAAGACGTGACAACCAACAAGACTGGACCGTGAGACTGGTCACGGGAATATCTGCTGCTCTTGGGTAGTGAGGAACCATATCATTGTGGAGAGTGAAAGAACTGGTGGTTTGTCTGAGGAGCGTGAGGTGGACGGGAAGATGGCGAGATCGCGGCTACTGGAGAGACGTATACAGATCTTCAGAGATCTGCATGGGATCCGAGGGGCGCTAGTAGCATTAGTGGGACACTTTTAGGGGAGGAGATATGACCGCTATGGGGACAATGGGGATGGCCATGGCAAGAAGGGCTGGCAATCCCGCGGGAGGGAACCCGGGAATGGTGAATTCGAACATAGGAGTACCGGGCGTGAATGGCAATCCGATGATGGGGAACCCCAATATGGGGAATCCGAGCATCGGGAACCAGAACATGAGCCCACCGAGAATAAGTACTCAGAGTGTGGGGCTTCATAATGGCGGTCCGGTAAATGCATACGGCTCAATTATCTGCCACATATGTGGAAAGAGCGGGCACTACGCCCGAAACTGTTGGCAAGCTGCAAAGCCAAGAGTGGAGGATGATAACACCGAGATGCGGGAGTTGTTTCGAAGGATCATGCGTCGTGAGCAGGAGGAAGAGGAGAAAAAACGACAAGCGGCCGAAGTGGTCAGAGAGAAGGAGGAAGAAGATAGGAGGGAAGGAGAGAAGATCTGAAAAGAGGAGGCGAGAGAAGCAAGGATCAAGTCCACGATTCTGCGGATTTTGTCACAGCGTAAGGAATCAGCGATGATGGGATCAGCGCCTCAGCCGGCTACGGAATCGAAGAAGCGGTCACCGAGATCTAAGTCACGCATGTTACGCGACATCCGGAACTACATCGCGGAGTCAGAGGACGACAGCGAGGAGGTGAAGATCGAAGCCGACAAGCTTATCGAAGCGCTGGAATACCGAAAGAAGCACCGTGCTAGTGTAGTTGGGAGTCGGGCAGCGACAAGCTGGGTGGTGAAGAGTCCGGTAACGAGGAAAGGGAAGGCAAAGGTTGTCGAGACAGCAGTAGTTGATCAAGTTTTCGAGACTCCAAAGAAGACGTGTCCTGCTGAGGCCTCGAGCGAGGGACTTGTGGAATACGCACTCTCGCAATCGAACGAGTTAAGTGGACTTAAAGCGAAGGAGATTAGAAAGTTGTGCGATCGAGAGGGTGTGGAGTATGTAGTGAAGGGCCAGGCGGTCCAAGAACTCGTTCGTTGTTGGGTGAAACTCGCCTACGAAGGTTTTCTTTGAGCATAGAGTGCACGCTACGCCATCTCTGAAGCAGTCAGACGAGGATCTGGATGCAGTATGAAGGATGTGGAGGAAGTGTCATCACGAGAAGCGATTGTACGGATTCGGGAGTTGATTTTGAGAAGGAAGGGTAGAGAAGAAGGTGACACTCGACCGCTATTGATTAGGGAAGAAGAGAATTACCTGTCTATGTTGTTTCTCCTTTTCGCACTCCAGGGACTTTTACCTTGGTTCCGAAAGCTCTTGAGATTCGTGGACCCAAACCATGTGGAAGTTAACTTGTCTGGCGTGTACGTGGTAGCTAGTTTGAGTTGTCGGAGATTGTACATCGGTTGTACGGTACGAAAGATTATTTCGAGGTGGGCCGAGCATGTCCGGTACGCCATGTCAGGGAAGGTTGGGAATGCCCCGAAACTACACACGTGGTTAAGTCGTTCGGATGGCATGATTACGTTGTCATCCCTGTCACTAGTGGAGTAGAAGATGGGCTTGAGGCCGAGCAGTCACTTATCAGGAGATTCTCACCCTCCTTAAACACTATAGGTCGCATCAAGAGTCGCAAGAGACGACGTAGCAGAAAGAGGGTGGCGGAGGACGGGGCGCATTATTCGGGTGGTGCCATCACCTACGAGTATGATGGAAGAGCGACATCGAGCTTAGGTCATATGCAGGGACGGTATGTAATGGATCATGGAAGAAGGTACGAGAGAAATATGGGGAAGTGACGATCGTGGTCAATATGACAAGGAGGAAGTTGAGAGACCCCAAGAAGGAGATTGAGTCCGGATGCACGTTCCGGATCGTGCAGCTGACCACGACACCTACGGAAGCTCAGAGGAACAAGAGGTTCTTGAAGGACTTCTTGGCACAACCCTAGCGCGCCAGACACCTGTACAAGCTGACTACCCACAAGCTCATGGCATTGTACAGAACCGCAGGCTTCTTTTCAAGGAACGCTACATGGGGTGGGCTTCGTCAAAAACTTGCCTGAGTTATAAAGAGAAAGTTTGGTACGGAAGTCAGGTTTACGGTTTAGGGTTTAGGGTTTAGGGTTTAGGGTTTAGGTTTAGGGTTTAGGGTTTAGGGTTTAGGGTTTAGGGTTTTAGGGTTTAGGGGTTAGGGGTAAGGGGTTCGGGGTTAGGGTTTTAGGGTTTGAGGGTTGAGGGTTGAGGGTTTAGGGTTTAGGGTTTAGGGTTGAGGGTTGAGGGTTGAGGGTTTAGGGTTTAGGGTTGAGGGTTAAGGGTTTAAAGGTTTTGGGTTTCGGGTTTTGGGTTTAGGGTCTAGGGTTTTAGGGTTTAGGGTTTTAGGGTTTAGGGTTTAGGGTTTAGGGTTTAGGATTTAGGGTTTAAGGTTTTAGGGCTTAGGAATTAGGGTTCGGGTTTCGGGGTTAGGGTTTCCGGTTTAGGGTTTAGGGTTTAGGGTTTAGGGTTTAGGGTTAGGGTTTAGGGTTAGGGTTGAGGGTTTAGGGTTGAGGGTTTTTAGGGTTGAGGGTTTTGAGGGTTGAGGGTTTTGAGGGTTGAGGGTTGAGGGTTGAGGGTTGAGGGTTGAGGGTTNTTAGGGTTGAGGGTTTTGAGGGTTGAGGGTTTTGAGGGTTGAGGGTTGAGGGTTGAGGGTTGAGGGTTGAGGGTTCTTAGGGTTGAGGGTTTTGAGGGTTGAGGGTTTTGAGGGTTGAGGGTTGAGGGTTGAGGGTTGAGGGTTGAGGGTTCTTAGGGTTGAGGGTTTTGA